TGGATGCCGACGTGCGGTTGCACTCGTTGTCCAGGTATTTTACTCAATCCTCCGTAAACGTCCGCGGTTGAGCGGCCATTGTTAAAGATGTTACGATTAGCGTTGAGATCCCAGGTAGGTTGACGCATTGGACCGCTCAGAGGTTGCGTTCCTTGGAAGCTTATTGAGCCTTGGGGTTCGGCCTCTCTTCTGAATCGAAATCCACCAGTTACACCAACTGAAGGAGAGACACCGTGACCTCTTGGACCCGGCTGAAGTTGACCATGACCTCTGATGAAACCGTTATTGCCAAAATTCCTCTCAGCCTGGATGCCGACGTGCGGTTGCACTCGTTGTCCAGGTATTTTACTCAATCCTCCGTAAACGTCCGCGGTTGAGCGGCCATTGTTAAAGATGTTACGATTGACGTTGAGATCCCAGGTAGGTTGACGCATTGGACCGCTCAGAGGTTGCGTTCCTTGGAAGCTTAGTGAACCTTGAGGTTCGGCCTCTCTCTTAAATCGGAAGCCACCAGTTACACCAATCGAGGGAGAGACACCGTGACCTCTTGGACCCGGCTGAAGTTGACCATGACCTCTGATGAAACCGTTATTGCCAAAATTCCTCTCAGCCTGGATGCCGACGTGCGGTTGCACTCGTTGTCCAGGTATTTTACTCAATCCTCCGTAAACGTCCGCGGTTGAGCGGCCATTGTTAAAGATGTTACGATTAGCGTTGAGATCCCAGGTAGGTTGACGCATTGGACCGCTCAGAGGTTGCGTTCCTTGGAAGCTTATTGAGCCTTGGGGTTCGGCCTCTCTTCTGAATCGAAATCCACCAGTTACACCAACTGAAGGAGAGACACCGTGACCTCTTGGACCCGGCTGAAGTTGACCATGACCTCTGATGAAACCGTTATTGCCAAAATTCCTCTCAGCCTGGATGCCGACGTGCGGTTGCACTCGTTGTCCAGGTATTTTACTCAATCCTCCGTAAACGTCCGCGGTTGAGCGGCCATTGTTAAAGATGTTACGATTAGCGTTGAGATCCCAGGTAGGTTGACGCATTGGACCGCTCAGAGGTTGCGTTCCTTGGAAGCTTATTGAGCCTTGGGGTTCGGCCTCTCTTCTGAATCGAAATCCACCAGTTACACCAACTGAAGGAGAGACACCGTGACCTCTTGGACCCGGCTGAAGTTGACCATGACCTCTGATGAAACCGTTATTGCCAAAATTCCTCTCAGCCTGGATGCCGACGTGCGGTTGCACTCGTTGTCCAGGTATTTTACTCAATCCTCCGTAAACATCCGCGGTTGAGCGGCCATTGTTAAAGATGTTACGATTAGCGTTGAGATCCCAGGTAGGTTGACGCATTGGACCGCTCAGAGGTTGCGTTCCTTGGAAGCTTATTGAGCCTTGGGGTTCGGCCTCTCTTCTGAATCGAAATCCACCAGTTACACCAACTGAAGGAGAGACACCGTGACCTCTTGGACCCGGCTGAAGTTGACCATGACCTCTGATGAAACCATTATTGCCAAAATTCCTCTCAGCCTGGATGCCGATGTGCGGTTGTACTCGTTGTCCAGGTACTTTATTCAATCCTCCGTAAACGTCTGCGGTTGAGCGGCCATTGTTCAAGATGTTACGGTTAACGTTGAGATCCCAGGTAGGTTGACGCTGTGAGCCACTCAGAGGCTGCGTTCCTTGAAACGTTATCGAACCTTTTTTTGGCTCCTCGATTTGCAGGTTGGGTAGATTAGTTTGACGAGGAAAACGCAGTTCCTATGAGAAAAAAAATCTTTGAAAATGTGATTCTTTTATATATGTGTATATATATATAGACATATATAAACAAAACACACACACACACATAAGAATTGTGAACACCAGCGTTTACCACGTGTCCGCAATTCCCTTTCTTATTCTCTCCTATATTTATATAAGTAAAGTCGGTGTTTAATTATTCGAATAAGTCATATTGAAGTATATACAAAAATAATAGAAATCATTTAAGAATAGTAAGGCCTCGGTAGTCTAAAGGCTTAGGACGCTTGTACGGAATATAAAAGATCCGAATTCGACTTCAGGCCGCGATAATATTTTTCGCAACAAATTTATTTACAGTTTTTCAGCACATTAATATCCTTCTAATATGATGTCTGATTGTGTATAAAAATTATTAAGAGTTGCTTGTCAATTTTTAATTTAATTCGTGATATTATTACAGTAGTTTAATTGCGTTTATAAGTCCGGAAAACCAATTCGACGCGTTTGATAGACTACAAATATGATATATATGCATGTACATATATGATATATATATATATATAATTCACATTGAATTATTTAAGCATTAAAGATCTAGCTTCGGCCGTTATTGACATTTTAATTTCTAGTATTGATTATGTTCTCATATGTTATGTTTTATTGTTTATTTAAAAATGTTTCACAAAGATATTTTTTAAAGCAAGAAATCTTATTTTAAGGCTCTTCACTACTATGAAAATTTTTATTATGTATTTTCTCGCTTCTAACGTCATAATCTGAATAGTAGTGAATGAACAGGAATTTTTATGACAAACTCCAGATGTAACAAGTGTGTTTGTAAGTTACGCAAGATAATTACAGTGCAATATGCAATGCGCATAGTCACGTATCATCAATTTGTCACGTTAGACACCGATGATGCAGTATTTAATGCTTAGAGAGAAATTACAATTATTTAAACCTTATTTTAAATATAATATTGTCTTTAATAAATAATTAATAAATTTAATAAATATTTAGATAATTCAATATTCAAATATTAATTAAGAAAAAATTTATAAGAATCATTTCAATTATATAAACTTAAGTTTAAGGTAAAGTATTTACATAATTTTCAACTTAAGTTTATTTGAGTAACAAATTACTTATGATATAACAATTACTTACATGTGGTGAAAGAACTGGTCCGGTCAATTGCGATGACGATGTTTTTCCTGACAAGTCAGCGCTTGTGTAGGTGATAGCGCATGATAAGGCCAACACAAAAACTAGTAGCTTCATGATGATATTAACTATTCCTTTCTCAAAGTAGGATATGTTTTTACTTGAAAGTGTGAAACCACTTCTGATGCTTGTTCGTCTTGTCCCGATTGCTTATATACGAATTTCAGATTCCCGGGGATGTACTCAATTTTCCTACATAGTCCCGTTGCGTCACTTATCGCTCCGGGTAATTCCCAGCAAATCGAGCGTGCCTCGAGTTGAGTTCATGCGACATTCTCTCGCGTCGGGGAACCCTCGCGCAGTAAATAGCAATACTTTCACTATTCGGACGTATTTTCCTCAATGCTTTAAACTGTCAATTGCAACAATCGTACGTACTAATCACATCTCCGTTTCTAATATAACTAATAGTCTTTTTGCTTATTATTTTATAATTTTATTTATCTATATTCGAGCAGAATAATGTTTTAAATGAAATGTGTGATTGTCATGTGAAAACTATTTAATTTATGTTTTATTTAAACGATAAATGTAGTAATAGATTTAAGTAATTTAGATAAATAATTGTTAGTGAACATATATATCTTTATTAGAATGAGCAAAATAAAATACTTAATGAAGCATTTATGTACAGGACCTTCATATAATTTTAGGACCTCCATTTTTTCATTGTTTGAAAGATATATTTTTATATTTCTACTGAGTACATTATATTTCATATATATGTAAATTTTATCTTTATAATAAAATGATAACAATCTTTAAAATAAAATACTAAAATCTAAAAACAGAAATTATTTTCAGGTAATTGGTATTTAGAATTTTGTATGTCTTGATCTATATCAAAATTATTTTTTTACACAAAATATGCAAAGATATAAATTACTGTCATATACTCGGAATTGTTAGTCAAACAAAAAAAAATTCCCTGGCCTTTTCCTGATTGAAGCCTAAAAGAAGCATTCAATAAAAACAAAAAAATACAAAAATTTTTATTAATTACAAACAAAATGTATAAAAAACAAAACTGAATAAAATTTATATCATTTTTTAAAAGCATTTTTGACATAAAGAAACTTCAATCTTGCACTTTTGAAAAAAGGGCATTTCTATCTTTTCGTCTACTTCTACAACTTCTTAAATTCTTATTAAACATAATTTTGAATTTCTTAATTTTTAATTTATTTATTTCATTAAATCTTTATTTTGCACATTGCTCACTGAGATTTAATCATCTTACTGAAACAATATTTTTTTATTACCATTTTAATTAAAAATTTTTATCTTGACGCTACATAATTTTATAACATTATCTCTTGCAATAAATTCGTTTGCATTTAAAAAATGCATAATTATTGAAGTATAGTAAATATTCTGTATAATTGTACATCCTTGCTGTAAATAATTTGCGAAACATCATTGTTACATCTTGATTTTGCAAAAATCCAGATATTGTTTTCCTTTTTAATTTGTCTGTTAATAGTTTTCTGCAAAAATGAAAAATTATAAAAAATATTACAATGCTTTTTTAAATAATTTAAAAAATTCTGTTTAATAATTTTTATAAAAGAAATAAAGTTTAAATTTACAAATATTATAGTAATTTAATTTGATCTTATATAAATTGATTTCTCTCTTGATTTTTTCCGAATTTTCCGGTTTTCTCTAACCGCTAACAATCTTAAAAAATGTGCCTTCAAACAGATGCAAAAATTCAATACAAAACAAACGATATCATAAATGTAAAGCCATATGAATACACGCTTATGTATGTATTATCGTGACAGAGAGATAAGAAAAGCAATAAAAGAATGATACAGACTACGTAATTAAAACGGAGAGGTCACAAAAATGTCACGGGAATCCCTCACTTTGTCTCGCAAAGGCACTGAATGCAGCAGCTGTTTGCTTTTATGACACAAAAAACACGTATAAAAATAATAAGACGGTGATGTCCCGTGAGAATGACGTATGCTTGAAGGAGCCTTATTTAAGCAATTAGCCGTCTTCCGTTTGACAGTCATACTTGTGCTTAGCGCGAATCACTTATCAGTGCTCTTATAATCTGTTTTCTATCTTTTTTAATTAATATTGAAGATGAAACTACTCGCTCTCATTTTGGCCTTATCTTGCGTCATTGCATGTACAGTTGCCCAGAACAGAGAACAACGCAAAATTGTAAATACTTTTTAAATTCAGTAATGTAATGAAATATTTTTTCTCGTTTTCATTTTATTGATAATTTGTTGTATTATGTGTGTTCACGATCAATGTTTTCACTTTGAAAAAAAATTTCCTTTTACGAAGAATTTTCGAACATTTGAGGGAAGAAAAGGAAAAAAAGAAAAAACGAGGAAAAATCCCCAAAAAGGGGAAAATAGAGTAAAAAAATTATTATTTTTTAAATAAAAAGCGCAAATTTTTTAATCAATTAATTAGTGTTGTGCTATTAACAATTATCAATATAGAGATAAGAACATAGACATCCGTGCTGTGTTCTCTTCGATATATGTTAATATTAAAAATCTGTAATTCACGTTTACATAGACTAGAGTTTTAATACTGACAGTGTTGATTGATTGGAATACGGCTTATATAACACAATACTAGATTAGCTCCTTAAGTATAAGACGTCTTCTTATATATGAACTGTATAAAATAGAGGTTTGATGTATAATATATATCATACAACTTAATAAAAATTACAAAATCTAGCGAATTTGTTCCATTATTTTTAATTTCATTGTTCATTCAAATATCTAATGAATTTATTAATTTTTTGTACATAAGGATGAAGATGCCTTATATATAAGCAATATAACCTAGTATCTATTATATAAGGTATTTTATAGCATGTGGAATAACTTTAGAAATTAATTTAGGACATAAAAATAACGTAAAAAGTTCATATAAACATTTGTTTTATCTGACTTTATTTCGGAATTATAGTCATTTTCATTAATTCTCGTTATAAACTGAACTAGAATAGTATCTTCACTATTTCTGTTTTTAAAAACGTTATTAAAACACGAAGACGCGTGAAGATATGTATACAGACATTACGTTAGCTTCATTTGTAATGAAAATTAACGAAACACGAAAATATCTGTAATTAAAACTAACAAAAAGGTTAGATAAAATAAATATTTACATGAACATTTTGTGTTATTTTTGTGCCTTTTCATTTCTGAAGTTATGTGCTTATCCGTTATAAACAATCTTATGTAGGCTGTGTTCCGATATACTACAACTGTAGTAATAGATACTGAAAATCTATTACGAAATCTAATTAATAGAAAAAAATTGATTGTTCTGTGTGACTTTTAAGAAACATTTCTTCCCTCCCCCCATTTATCTTATTATTATTAAAAATACATTTTTAATTAATTTTATTGAACATTATGTATAATCCGTTTTTTATTCTGAATTAAAATAGCACTTGTTTAACCTGATAACAACATTAAAATTAATTATAAAAAAATAAAACATAAGTGTCTTAAATATAAAATTTCTAAAATTCCTTTATCAAAATAATAAAATTTGAATATGTGACATATACTCTCGTGAAATGATAAAATCTAAAAGATAAACAAAATTTTTTTATGGGAAAGAAAATACGGGGAAATTTCAAAACAAAGTCAGGGAAAGAAAGGAAATTTTAGAGTAGGAGAAGAGAAATATCACACTTTAGTGGAAACATTGTTCATAATATTCATTTACATAATTTCAATTACTCATTCTTTCTGATTTATACGCATTGTGTGAATCGTCCTAGATGAATTCTGTTATTGTTAAAAATTTATAAAAAAGATAATTATTTGATAACATTTTTAAAAAGATTTGATATTAAATGTAGAAGTATTGGAAACATATATTACAATCAATTATATATGTATAGTTTATAAATATTTTATTATAAATATTATTTAGAAGGGAGATTACGCCACTTTCATTTGGGAACTAATTTTCAGGATTTGAATACTGTAAAGAAGTATATACCTATATTCAATGCCGACGCAATATTGAAATTTATACTTTTCGGCCAAAAATTTATGGTCGGCGCTTCCAGCAAATATAACGTTCCCGCATCTGAAACACAACCTAATTCCGAATCGAATAATCTATTAAACGAGGACAATTCTCCAAGCGTCAGCTCAAGTCAAGTTCTTCCTCTCTCATCAAATTTTCGCTGGAGAAGAAAAGCAGTTGAACCCTTCCGCATCGAAGCACAATATATTCAGCAGAAATGATTTTCATAATTTTCCGAATCTTCAGTAAAATATAAATAAAAAGCTCATAAAAAGGTCCTTGCTCATCTTTCAACCTGTAGAAAACACTAATTGATTTGTGAGGTTGAATCGAATCGAATCTTTGATATGTTCGAAAACGAATCGAAATTAAAATTTGTACATCGAATCGAATCTTTTTGATTCAAAAATGAATCGAATTCGAATTAAATTTGTCCGAATTTACATTAAAAGCTAAATTAAAAATAATAAAATATTTTCAATAACACATTCCAGATTTAAAAAAAATGAGAAAATAAATAATTTTTAATTTATGAAAGTTGCATAAATGAAACAAATAAAATAGGCGATTGATTCGAAATTGAATCACCAATGATTAGAAATTTCGAACTTATCTCTCAGATTCGGAATTGAATCTATTATAATTCGATTCGATTCGATTCGATTCAAATTCGAATTATTTGTACACTTCTAGTCAATCATTCCAAGAGACCAAAAATAAAATAGTTGAGAAAAACTAGATAAAAAGATAAAATTTAATCACTGTTTGGCGTCCTCATAACATTTAATTTTACTTTATCAGATATCAAATTAAAAATATTTTTATAAATTTGACATCTTAGAAAATTTACATATGAATATAAAATATACATCTACGAAATATGATTGCAAATGCGGTCAGAACGATTAAATAACTAGAACATATATACGCTTAATATATTTAATTATATCATTTCTTCTAACAAATATATGTATGTAACATGATTATTAAATTCCTCTCTCTCTCTCTGTTTTAGAGTATTATTTTTAACAATTTTTTAAGAACGAAACATATTTCTCTTCCTTTTATCCTTTTCCTCAATTATCCTGCAAGTTTAAAGTTTAAAGTGTCATTCGTCTTAAAGTTATTTCAAATGTGGTTAAAATGAGACGACAAAGCAATTGGTTGATGCCGCGTAAAAATGCGATTTCTATTACGACAGCAACATTTCCGTAGGAATTCTATCTTGAAAACGCCATCTTCTTCTTCCTTTTCCTTCTCCTTTTCTCTCTCTCTCTCTCTCTCTCTCTTTTCACTACGGCAAATTAAGCTTCCCAAAATACCGCGAAACTGTTAATTAAGACTCATTATGCACGCTGCGGGGGATGGTTGTCCGGGACAGAAGGAAGGTGGCCGTAGCGGAGGATGAAGACCACGAAGAAGTTGGAGGGAGGAAAGGGGACAAAGAGCGAAGGAGGTTTAGGCGGGGGTGGTTTAACCCGAGTACGAACTTCTTAATACCACAGCTGCAGTCGGGTTCATTGTGGGATCAATACGGGGAGAGCTCGTGGTAGTGGCAGGCCAAGTGCGATTGGCCCTGACGATCGAGCACGGCGATTGGCCGATGTCGGCACTGCCAGGAGGCGGATCCTGCCGCGGTCCCCAACGTGTTGGGGTGATGGTAAAGGGGAAAGAGAATACCAACGTCAGCCGCTCTGCTCGAAAACGACGGGACGGTTCTAGAAAAAGACAGCGACAGGCTCTATGGAGAGAGGGTGACACACGGTGTCGCGTACGGGGGGGTTTCAGTTTGTGTTCACCCATCAGAGACACACCACCATCGGCGATACGCTCCGTTCACGTTGCGAGGGTGAGGGCTTGCTTTTCGTTCTCCACTGGTCATTCTCTTGTTCTTCAAGAGAACCATCTGACTTTTGCGTTAAATCCGAAGAACGTGTCGCGATCGAACGAGCGTGATCTTATTATTGAAGACGGTGTTATTGAGAATTTTTGGAAAAATAGATAGATAATTGGAAACAATTGTGAAGCAAGTAGTGAGTGTCGTTTTAAACTGCAATTATCTCTGCATACGACATGAGATGATGAGGACGGTGACAGTAGCTATTAGTTAAGTGAAGTGTCGATGAAGTTTTAATAGGAGAAAGCAGTAAATGGTTTGATCGAAACAGTAGCTTCGTCAACAAACTGTAAATTGTGAACAATTGAAATTTGTTGAACTAGGAGTTATGGAGTCAAATTATGCACGTCGCAAGTGGTCGACATAGAATTGAAATCAGCGACAATTAATTCACATAGAAAAGTTTTGAAGAGATATTTGAGGGAAAAAAGAAAATGTTGCGAAGACTAATTGCTGAAAGAAAGCTTACAAAAGAAAATTTTGAAAAGTGAGGTAATAGAAGTAATAGAAGAGAGAGAATGTGTCATACAAGAATTTTTCAAAGATCTTTATATGTCTTGCTCAGTTTCGTGAAATTTTTAGTTGAAGATATGTTCAATAATTTGATATATCCAATGATAACTACTTAAATCTTTTTGCATCTTGCTGACGCGATTATAAAGGAAAAAAGAAGAAGAGCGATCGATTCATACAACCTTTTTCATTGCCTTAACTATCTCGAAGAATTATTAATGTATAGTTTCGTGATTCGCTGTAGTTCAGTGAGAAAGAACAATTAAAATTATTTATTCTTTACTAAACTTCTTATTATCAGCAATGATACATTTGGCATTTTAATAGAAATGGTTATTATTATATTTAAACGAGATTGATAAGTATATTTTATTGTGATTGACTTGCAAATATTTTATCTCTTTCATAATTATCTCTTTTACTTTTTGCCAATATTTCTTTTCTTTTTTAATGATCATATATTTAGGTAACATATTAAAATTGCACTTGAATAAATGAGGAATCTGAAATGATTATGAATATTGAAACACGCGTCTTGAGTTAATATCGTATTATTTGATAAATTTTGGATTTTATATGATCGCAAATGGTGCAAAAATAAAAAATGATAAGACAGTTAACAACAATACGAGTCATTTAATTTTCTTTATAAACAGTGTATTGTTAATTATACCGTTAATTTAATATACGTACCTAAATAATTTAAAACATTTAAATTGATTATCGTATTAAGCTACCGAAGAAGCGCAAGGATATTCGAAGGTATTCAAAGAAAGCTGTTCGACATTATTGTTGACATTATTACATTGAATTATACCTCGCTGTCGCTGTATGCTACAGCATGGACCATTATCATTAGTGATGATTTAATCACTTTAGTGACCTTGGATGATCTCGAACGTTTGATCCGATCGTGGTCATCGTGAGCCATCGACGGAGTTGGAGGACAATTTTAGGAGTGGTGTTGTTCGAAAGAGTAGTGCGACGTTCGGGTACGCAGGTCTGCAGGCCAGCTCTGGGGTGCCGGGCCCGGGCGGGGTGATGAGCTGCTCCGATGTGATGTATCAATATTATCCTTACCTGTACCAGACCCATCGGCCACCGCCGCCGCATCCGACTCATCCTCATGCGGCCCCGCACAGTCACCCTCACGCCAATCCGCATGCGGCCCACCACAGTCCAGCCAGGCCAGCGCCTTTCCAACCCTTTCCGGCGGCCACGGCGACACATCAGTATGACAGGGTAAGTCGAACTTCTATTTTGATTTTGAAATAATGAGAGTGTTAATTTCTTATTTGAAATTCTGTTGATTTTTATGATTGCAAAGCAAAAAATTTTAACTCGATAGAACTCTTTAATAAAGGATATTTGTAATCAATAGTAAAATAAGAATAAAAAAAATAATTATAAAAATTTATAAAATTAATTCAGGACTAGTCTATAACGTAGCAGTCCTTTATAGAAATCTAATACTGGCCAATTTAACTGGCTTTCTTGCCGAAAGACAATAATTAATTCCTTATTTTAAATATTAAAAGCACTGTTATTCAATGCTTTTAATACTTTAGATAAGGAATTAACACTTCTATCTTTTAGTAATAAATTGGCCAGTATAAATGTAAGAGGTAAATATAAATTTTATCCCTTAAAGTGATAAAATTGCAGTGTACGAATGTATCACAAGATAAATAAATAATGAATTGATTGTATTCGGTTACGCTCGTTGAGTAACTAATTAATCTAATGATCCTGCAATACAAAATTTATCACTAATAGATGTAATACAAAATTGTGCGAAGGCGCTAATAAAATGCTTTAGGACACCCAATATTTCAAGGGTGGTCCTTCCACATATTTTTATAACCCCATTCTGTGGTCGCCTGTCCCCTTATATTGCCCAAAGCAATTAAAAACAGACCCGCGTTAGTCACCAAGTTAGGCGCGTTTAGTAAAAAAAAAAAAAAACTATAACCATTTATAACAAGTTTTATTTGTATTTTACATAGACTGTCTTCACTTTATGGGTCTTTATTGCCATATAAATTCTGCTCAATAAAGTCAAGAAAATGACTTTATTGAGCAGAATATATTTATTCTTTATTTAGCTTATTATCAGATAAATTGTATACAAACTTTACTAAAAATTTTTCTTCTTAAATTATAATTAAACAAATTTTAAAGGTACAGCCACGACATTCGATATTCTTAGTGAAAATCATTTATTAATTCTGACATAAAAAGAATATGTAATCTAAACGTTTCGGTCAGATTTTCTGACCATCATCGGTAGTAAAAAAATATATTCGATATTCTAATTAGCGCTGGTGTTACAATAATTTTTTTAGGAATATCGCCTAGTGGCCTTTCCTAGAACTCAAGAAACATCGCCGATGAAATAATATTTCGCTCAGTTTTGCGCATCCTGAAATAGTTTCGAGATGGCAAGAAGGAAGGAGTTTTCGCGAGTAACGCGTGGAATCGCCTGTGCATCATTTTAATTTGTCTGCTGGGAGGTCAGGCGTGCTCCTGCCCTCGACGAGCACCCATCCGTGCACCCATCCGTGCACTGTGGGGTGTCGAGCGCCGTTTTGCCATCTTTCCCGGGCCGGTGGGAAAGTAATGTTCCTTTTTTCCAGCACCAATCTCTCTTAGGTAATATTAAACTGCTTGTAACTAGTGATGCGCACCGGGAATATTCTTGAAAGCATATTCTCGGAAAACGAAGATATTCTGAGAACGAGAATACTGTGAGAAAATTCTGAAAATATTTCGCGATAATACCTTTTAGATATTATTTTAGAACCAATATTTTTTTCGAAACTACTGAAAAGTAAGAAGAGCATGGTTCTGGGGAAATTTACTATAGGATAAAATGTTCGCGAAATATGAATTATAATAGTTAAAGAAAAAGTTTGGAGATTAAAAACTGTCACGATTTAAAGATTAAAAATTTTTTCGACTTTATTGCATCATTCATACACTGATTATTTTAAAAACTATAAGAAATGATCAAAAAATAAATTTAAGGATAATTGGGTAGTTACGTTCTGGTATCTCATTTAATCT